CTCAAATAAAGCCTGGTATCGATCCCGGATACACTCCTGGGTAAATACCTGTCCTCACCTGATTCAATCATCCGTTTTGGGCCCCATATATGCAACCACAATACCCGGTTGTGAGTTGCTTTGCATTACCCCATCTTCAATTCTATCGAGTTCCCATTAGTTATACACGGCCTTAACCCGATCCCGGTCTACTCTGTCTTCGTCCTCATACTCCTGAAAAGCCCTGAGCATGACTGTGTTCTACTCCAACTGATCTTTGATGACTGGAGTTTTCGGCAGCTTAGATTACCGAGCCCTACCTCCATGACCTTCTCATTTCTCAGACGTTTTGCGAAAGTCACGAATTAGGAAGAACTGACGGGATTCCGGAAACTGGCTTAAAGTCTCCGACACGATAGAGCAATTCAAAATGCCCTTACAAGAAGAGTCGTTCCATCGAAGTGCTCATTGGAATAAAAGTTTTTTGTTGCCACTTGACCAAATTCAGCCTCCCCACTTACATTGTGAATGATTGTCCTTAATCGCAGACTGTTGCACTTGTCCTCGGAAACGAGCTGGCCATTCAGACAGTTTAGTTCTCCTGTGCACTGTAATGATCAGATGTTGGAATCAGCAGAGTATTACGGACCGATTTTGCATTTTTCTCAAATAAGGAGGGTTCTTCATCGGGCAATAACAGAAAAACTGTTTAGTTTCAACTTCGCCCTGAAAAGGTTTGGAGTGTGGACGAGTTTCCCATGCAAGCAGAAAAAACTTCAGTCCAAATTTTTGAAGTCATCATATGCTATTATCATAGTCACCGCAATACCAACCTCTGGGTCAAACGATTCATCGCTTTCGTCCAAATCGCTGTCGGTTGGCATTGGTGTTGCAAGCATCGGCTCCACTGGAGGTGAAGTTACAAATTGCGGAGCCGCTACATTATAATCAGGTGGGCCAGGATAGTTCCGTGTCCCTTGATTACTAAAAGAATTATACTGCTTTCCATATGGTTGTTGAGTAGTGAACTGCGATGAGTAGTCAGGAAGAACATTTCCAGGAGGGAACGGCAAGGTGACTAACGGCGGCAGTGTAATGGCAGGTGCCGTCATCTGTAAAACTTTACCGTTGTCATAAAATTGGAGTTCGATCCTCTTATGGTCATGGTTATTTAAACAAGTAATCACTAGCTTCAAAGGCACATTCTGCGATGGCTGAGGCAGTTATTAAGGCGGGGTTGGACAAAGGCCTTGGCTGTAGTGCATGGTCTTCCAATGGCGGTATAACCTTCAAGCGGATGTACTGGTGAGGTAAAAAGGTAATAGGAAAGGAAAGTAGCAATCAAACATGGTGAAATATGGTATGAACGAAAGTATAGCTATTGAAGTAAGTCAACAGACGGAGCCGGTTGTACTGTATGCTACTGAACGATACCAAAAATTCGATTGATCTGAACACCTGATTCTTCGCGCTATTCTGCCTCATACAATCTACAGCAAAACCGACTATCTTACGTCGTTAATTTGCGAAGTTTTCTGGCTGATTTGGTACTTTCTTGACTGATGGGCTTTTGAGTACTTGCTCAGTGATTTTTGAACTCAAAAACTTCGCCGTTCTGCAATCGCGGAATGTGCCTTTAGACCTCATTTGCTGCTTTCAATGCTCACAGTCACATTATAGACTGAAATGCTGAATGGACGCTGATCTACCGGCGGCGGTGGTCGCATGGTGACGTGCGAAGCTGGTATGTAGACGATATTCCTGGCTCCAGGTGTACGAAAGGCTCTTCTGTCTCCCGACGGCGATGGTGGTAGATAATCACTGCAAAGACCATGGAACAGGCAACGATCTTCAGGAAAAATCAATGCTATAAATAATATGAAGAACAAAGGATAAGGTCTCTGAATGTTGATCAATCCCATCTGAAAGATGTGCCCCTTTTGGCTTCCCCTCAGAATCGTAGTGGCTTATTGAACGCGTATGTGGCCTATACAATAAATGCGGTAGCCAGCCGATGTGCAAGCCAGCGCTTTTATCCTCCCAGACGAATCCGATACCAACTTACGACCCTAGAGGGATGGAAAGCTTGGTTGATCTGGGCGGATATCGATCCAGATACGAACCCGCGTCTATGCTTGGTGTGATACTGCGTCACTTGCCACCACGCCACCTCCGCCCTTACGGCAAATAAATAGATAATAAGAATAAAAATGACAATCAAATAAGCAATCATGTTGCAAGAAATGATTCGAGTGACGAGTGTCTGAATGGATTGGTGGAGAGTTGAAAAAAATAGAGACAAAAAGGTGGTCCTCCCGAAAATGGTAGACCTCAAATTAATTCAAAATCAAAATATTAAACCAATCAAAATAACGGAGCAATCGATAAATATAAAAGGCATTGGTGTGAGGTTAATTGGGCATGAAGGAAGATTCTGAGCTTCGAAACATGAGGGAATTTATGACTGAGAAAATCACTTTGGTATTGCAGCCGGTGGGCTGTCGCTGAGAGGTTTCGATTCATACCCGCTTGCCTCGGTACCGAAAAGACGAACCAACTGAAATTGAGATGTATTTAGTTTAACCGATGTGGGTGGACGTAAATTTGAGCAAAAATAATAACAAGTTCCCAGAACTTATTGGACTTTTATTTTCTGCAACTATGGATATTGGCGAATAGTTCCTGGGAAGTAGTACCGATCGATATCAATCAATCTATTGTCTAGCACCGATCGATATCAATTGAATCTGAAGAAGATTCCGAAACAAAAAGAGCGCAAATTAAGACGGCACTAATTTTGAGATAAATGACTTTTTATTCTTGTCAAAATGATACGGATCAAATTTATTGATTGATATCGATCGGTGCTCTACCATATACATATACCCTGTTACCCGCTGAAGTTTGAGCATAATAAACGCATTGTGCTTGGGATTATGCCCCGAACACTGCTTTCTCACAGTTTCAACCATTTACTCCTACCCGAAACATCTTCCACTTTTTTCGATTTCTATACCATCCGTCCTTCTTGATGGGGCTTCACTCGAAAAACCCCCAATTTCTAGACCATGTCGATGTAAATCTCCCGATGGCAATAATACCCGAAAAAAGCTTTTCGCAGAAAATAAAGCCAACCTTCCCACTGGGCTCTCTTCCGAAAGTCTGAATGTTCCTGGCTGCCAACGCGGATTGCCAGCTCGGTTCTTTCCTGCTGAGAAGCACCTGACGATTTTTGTCAACCACTAGAGGTGTAAGATCCTTGAAATCTACCACTTCGCTCGCTGAAATCAATTCAGATCAATGGGTAAGAAGAAAATGAATAGATATCTAATATAAACGTATAAAAACGCAGTATTGACTTATTTTTCATGCTGCGGCCTTAGAAAAGTCATAAGTTCGGTCACGCCTACGCAAAAATTTTCTTCCCTCCCAATCGAGTTCTTTTAGATTTCCATCAAAAGTAGTAATGCCACTAGAGTTCTGAACTAACGAGTGTCGGTCCCTTGGTCCCTAATCCATGAAATACACATGCTCTCAACTTATACTTTCAAAAAGAATAGTTACCTGTTTTCGCAGAAGAGGTTGGTCTGGTCTGTATCTTGTTATCAACAACCCGGCTTGCTGATGATTTCGATTTTGTCGACTTGAACGCTCGGTATAATCTCTTACGCCAATCTCTTATACTGTCCAATATCCGCCCAGACACAATTGGACCTTCTGACCTGTAGATATTTGTACGATTTGTTTCGTGATATACTTAGGGTAGAGAACAAAGTTTAAGGTAGTAGTTATCCCCTTGGTTGGTGTGCGCCCCGTACTCGACTTCCTTGATATCGTAGTTACGGCTTGATTGCGTATGTGGGCCATATGATGAATTTAGGTGGCCTTTATGCTCCTAGACTGGTCTGGTTCATGTTAACTGAACAAACGGGATGGAACTTGGTCGCCCTGGGAACGTATCGGTACGGGTTCGGTCCCTGGACCATGTGGGTGTGATAGTGCGTCACTTGCCACTACACAACCTCCTGTTTTCACTCAGTTATCAATCTAAAGACCTGTTTACTTCCGGAAAAGTCATATCAAGCTTAAGTTTCGAGCTGGTGGAAAAACTCACTTCAATATCTGATACGTAAGTTCGTAGAAGGCCTTTCCTTCCAAGATTAGGGCGTAGATGATACATAGTTAGGAGGGTCGCTAAGACGTGAGTGGTCCAGGGTTCAAATACATGATTAATAAGTACCAAAGGTTTTCCAGCCCTCGGAATGGACCGAACGGTAGCAGTTTTACTGAAGGGGCGAACACCCTGACATGCCCATTGATTGCCCCCTTGCAAGACCCTCTAATCCCAATCAGAAGTTGATTGACCGTTTTCTGAAGCTCTACTACGAATTATTCACGAATGACGAGGTTTTTAAGGGGAGCGGTTACTGTATAATATTCCTCTTCTCATTTATATACTCCCTTCTTGCTGTGAAGGCTATACAGAAAACCTTCAAAACCTTTTCTTAGCCGGCGTTGCCTCCTCGGCGATGAGAGGTGTAGAAGGCTCTATGGGAGCAATGGTCGCTTCTGTCGGAATCAAGGTTGGAAATGGATGTCGATCCGGTTGAAGGGCATTATCTAGTAGATTCTGAATTGGTGCAAAGAATGTTTGTGTTGGAGCTCCTGTTGCTGTTGGTTGATCGATTATTGAATTAGTGTCAACCGGTGCCCCCTGAGAAGCCTCTGTGGCACCTAGAATCTCCAGTGTCTCCCCAGGATCCGGAAAGAAGTGATTGAGATTGTTGAGCAGTCTGTTCTTCAGATAAACCTAGAAAGAGAGATTCTTTAAGTAAGTCTCGAATGTCACAATTCCTTACTTTGTTCCCGTACGGTAAAGAAGGTCCTTCAATCGGTTCATCCCTGAGACGTTTAGCATGTCCAGGATATTTCAAATTAGGACGCTCAGTTGTATTCGTAGTAACAGCAGTAGAAGTCAAATACAGTAATAATAGTAGTAATAACATAGACTTCCTGAAAAAGCGAACTCAGAAGCTCTCAGAAAGCGGCAAGGTGTGCGGACGATACATCGAAATCATTAAGTAAACAAATGAGAATGTTTAGGCCTGCAATCGCTTCGAAGCTGTGAACATTAAAGAATAAGGACAAAGTCTTGGGACGTTAATCAATCCCGTTTGAGGATGCGTCCACGCATTCGACTTCCTTCCAGAATCGCAGTGGCTTATCGAATGCGAATGTGGCCTATACAATGACTTGCGGTGGCCAGCCGATGTTCAGTCAGTGTTTTTATCCTCCCGGACGAGTCTGGTACCAACTGACCGACTCGGACGAATGGGAGGCTTGCTTGGTCTAGGCAGACATTGACATGGGACCCGATCTCGTGATCGTGCTTGTGTGAAGTACACCGCTTGCCACTCCATAATTTCGAATCAATATCTGCCCAGAGTAACCGAGTCTTCAACCCCTCATGGGACGGTTATTTGGTGCTAACCTTGCCTGAGAGATTAGAAGCACTGGCTTGCACCTAGGCTGAGCACGCACCACACAGGCTGTAAAGGACGCAAGAGCAGTCTAAAACAACTAAGATTCTGGCTGGAGGTCGAATGCGTGGCGCAACTCTACGTGGCGACGACGTTGACGTTAATTTGACATTAATCAATCCCTTCTGAGAGATGCGCTACGCATTCGACTCTTATTTAGAATCGGAGTGGCGTAATGAATTCGTATGTGGCCCACACAATGACCTGCAGTGGCCAGCCGATGTACAAGTCAGTGCTTTTATCCTCCCATTAACCGACCCCTGAGGGGTGGAAGGCTTAGTTGGCCTAGGTGGATCGGTCCGAGATTCGAGTCCGTGTCCTTGTGTGTAGGATAGCGCGCCATTTGCAATTATACTATCACCAAACACAAAACGTAGACTCCTGTAAACAGCATCGAGTTGAGGTTATCATAAAGGTCTTGAGATCAAAGCGAGATTTAAATGCTAAATTAACAGTGGCACCTCTTCAGAGGGTCGACGAGTAGTTGCAAAAAAACAGACGAGGGAACACAAGAGACAGTCGAGGAGGCGCTCGAAACGTCCACATATAACAATAAGGGCGGTTTGATGATGTCGAACCCTGAAGACCAAACGCAACCATCGCTACTTTTTTTCTAGTTGCTCAAGATTGGCGCGGTCAGATGAGGAAACGGCTTAGCAACAGGCATATAACAAATGGTTCATCTTGCAAACGGACAACAGTGGCATCAGCGATTTTTTCCTTCAACAATTTTGTTGAAAAGAAGGTGCTCGGTGTTTGGATGCCACCTGGACACTGGTAATAAGCCCTCAGCAACATCAGAGCCCACTCAGTAAGCTCCTGAATTAGTAGCTCTCTTGCTCTGCTATTCGCCTTATCGGAATAAAGTATTTCAATTTCCTGGATGTTTTGACCCGACACTTCAAATTTCCTGGAAAACCTAACCACGGCTCACCTTTTGAGCAGAAACCAGTAGTGATATCTGTTCCACGTGATCTCTGTAAGATTTGGACCATCCGTAATCCCATCCTATGACTTTCTGTCCTCATAGGTCCTTACTACGATGGGCTTCATGCGGCTCCGAGAATCGGGCATAATGTCACACGCCCGTGAAGCAATTTACAGCTTTTGGAAAGAATTGAGATTACCAAGAAAGAACAAAAACAAGAAGTCAAAACAAACAGCACAACATGTAAAAACTTAACTCAAGAGTCAGGGACTTTGATTTAGAACTTAAAAAACTTTTGACATCAGTCAATCCCGTCTAAGGAATGCGCATTGACTTCACTTCAGAACCGTAGTGGCGTAATGAATGCTTATGTGGCCTATGTGGCCTATAAAATGATTTGCTGTGGCCAGCCGAAGTACAAGTCAGTGCTTTCGCCCTCCCAGACGAGTCTGGCATCAACTGACCTACCCCGGAAGGATGGTATGCTTTTTTGGCCCAGGCTGATATCGAGCCGGGATTCGAAGCCGTGACCATGCGTGTGTGAAGTCGTGAATATACGGTGCGAAACAGAGTCAAGAAGTATCGTCGTGGAAACGGGCTGAATCCCCCTTAAAAGGGGCCTAAAAGTGCACAAATATCTACAATCTTTTTTCCTATATCTCTTTTTCCTATTCATGTAGGACCAGTCTAATGCCTCAATCACCACTCACTGTTTTGACACTTTCACTGTGTGAGGGTCACACCCCTCTTCCCGAAACTAATTACATGCATTCAGAGGTAATTTCTTGGTCGGAAAAAGACCGCGATTCAGAACAGCTTTCCCACTGAAGAAAACCGTTTCGCCATTGTTCTGGGTGTGGTGGCATTCCTCAATTACTATAGCCTTCAAAAACAGGGGAGGCGTCTAGACAGGTTCCTTGAAAAATGAGCAGAAAAGTGGAAGCCGCTCAGAGCTACTGTAATGAGGACAACGAAAACGTCATGAACATAACCTACTACGACGGCTACCCGCCACCAGTAACGCCTAACGAAGCAATCGACTCCGGTTTATTGGACACCCATGGAGCTTTCAGCAGGATGGATTTACAAAGCTTCACCTTGCGTCATCACAGGGATGCGCCCTGCAATCGTCTTCCACTCATAATCGTAGTTGCAGTTTGGATGAGTTTGTGGACTATACAACTTTTACGGTAGCCTAAAAATGTTCAGTTCAGTGCTCTTCTCCTCCCACAAGAGTTTGGAACCGAATTAGCGACCACGCAGGGATAGAAGGTTTGATTGCTCTAGGCGCGTTTCGGTGGAACCCTAGTTCACGATCCACAACGTGGGAGCAGCGCCTCTTAGCACTACCCCACCTACATTGTGGTCAAAAATGATAAAACATAAAATAAACAACAAAAATCGAGTAAAGAAGTCAATAAATAACTACGTTAGAAAATGTGGCAGAATAAAACCCTGGAGTCCTTCGAGTAAAATTCCAAAGGAAAGTAGTAATAATTTTAAAAATTTCGCAAGCAAGCATCAAAATTGAAATTAACAAAAATAGATAAAAACAATGGGACGGAACCAGAACACAAACGTTCACGAAAACAGTTTCAGCATCACATATTCGTAACTGGTCAGCTTAAACAGGATACGGTAATCGTGAATCTGTGTTTGTCCGCGCCACAGCAAGTGGATCAAGTGCTATGCGAGGCGTGTTCAAACAGTCGCACACAGGACCCGTTCGACACCTTATTAACGGATCAGAAAAAGGTGAATACCGTTGCTGAAATTGTCCAGAAGCTGAGAATCGCTGCATAATGATCGTATTCATATAGCGACATCTCATATAGGAATTATAGGGACTTGATTGAATCATGGAAAAAAGCTTTCGAGCCGACGAAGGAGGTTTCGCGGCGAATTCTTCTTGGAATACCGAAATTCTTAAGTTTGGATCCCTTTTTCTTTCGTATCAGAAACTCCTTCATAATCAACAAAGACATCTGCTTAAATTTGTTATCACTCTTTGGTTTGAATGGAGCGAGAGGGTAAGATGGAGCGGCAAGAGTAGCTGATTCCTTAACACCTGTGGATTAGATCCTTAACCTTGTTGTCACCCCTTATGCCTGACGTAGTAAGTTCTCTGACTCCTCAAGAGGAAGTGTAATGAATCTCAAAAGCAGAGACTTGTACATCAGCCGGCCACTGCAAGTCATTGTATAAGCCATGTACCCATTCAATACTTCCCTACGATCTTGAATGGGAGTCGAATGTGTGGGGGCATCCCTGAGCCGATATTGATTGGTGCCCCATCAGATTAAGTCATCGGCTAGTGGGTACCGGACTACTCTTGGAAGCAAAAGCACTGACTTCTACCTGGCTGCCGCAAGTCATTCTAGACTCACAAGCATCCAAACACCGCTGTGATTCTGAATAGAAGTTGTATGAGGGGGCGCATCATTACAACGGGATCCTAGCAAGGAACAAAGGCAAGATCACTCTATCACTCTTTTATTTTTTGTGATTGAGAAGATAAAACGACTGCTACATTACTTTGAAAGCTCCAGTACTAGCGAAACTGATGTTACACTACCTAAGGCATCATTCTCTAACAGCCGAGAAGTGATTAGAAGTGGAGATTGGCAGCACATATGTCTGTCGTTTTCCAACTTGAGGCATTTCCACTTGCAAAGGGGGATAAACGAACAGGTCCACAAGTGGCGAGAAGATAACCGGAGCTGGATTCAGTCAGCATTCTTCATATAGATATTCTTCAATAACGAGGAGGGCAGATAGCTTGCCTGATGAGTCACGATTCAAATCAGTCAATCAAACAATCAAAAGATCCCGTCTGAGGATCTTTTGATTGTTTGATTGACTGATTTGAAGGTTCTTGGAAGTCGGCGCAGCGAGGAGCATATATGGCAAAATCAGAACGATTCTCTACTTTTAACCCAAAAGTATTGAGCTGAACGCCAAGGCCAATATGTGAGGGTTCCGACGAAAACGCCCTCACTCAGCCTGACAGCCTACATCTTCTGAAGCCATACCGCTTTCCGAGAGATGGCTCAGGAATGAAGCAGCAGATCAATTCTTTCGATCTGGGCACTCATAGCCCACAATCTAACTCGACAGCCTCCAAACATGAAATGCTTCATGACTGGACCAAGCTTCTTGTTGATTTTCTACTTAAGTTTCGTACGTTATACATGGTGTTTTAAAGACGGCCAGTTTAGGGGAACCAATCAAGTGCAGAGCGCTTGTGACCATGGAATATGAACCTTAGAAAAGGGGTCTTTCCAAATGCCCCACAGACTCCTCCGATTCAGTCAAAGATATTTGGGTTCCATCAACAGAGGATAAGAGACGTGCTCACGAACTTTCATAGGAAGTTTCAATAACACAGCCATTATCATACCACCATTGCTTAAGAAAATCTATGAACAGAATTTTTTCGAACTTAAAAAAAAACGCTTAAAAAACGAAAATCCCAAAAAGGGACAGCGCATGAACTTCTATGGTGAAGAGAGATCCAAAAATGGAAACAAAGAGAGGAAAGTGAAAGTCACAAATGGAAATGTAAAGGTTTTGGTTAACGTTGCTACCTTGGGTAAGGTTAGGCAGTACCAAAAGGTTGGACCCACCTTGTCAATGCCTCAACGATCCTAAATCGAAGTTGAATGCGTGACGCATTCTACAAGAGGGATAAAAGAAAGAAAACTTTATCCTTCTTTATGCTTGGGATCTCGGATCCGGGGCTCCCCATTGTTGCTACATCAACACCATTAACAAGCGCAAGAAAAAGCTACTATCATCAACGGAATAAAAACGAGCCAGTCTCAGCAGTCATTCACAGGTATTTGGGCTCGTACAAGAAATAAATGGAGCACGGTTATAAGAGCGATGGTTTGGATGGGCAGTAAAAGTTTTGTTCTTGCACTATACAAAAAACAAGATTGACAAGATTGACATTTTCTACACGATCAACACCTAGACAGACTACAATGATCGGGATGATTGTCGGACTCCCTCAAAGAAGCGGGAGAACCCGTTCTGGGTCCATAATCTGCAACAGTAGTTTCGATTTAACACGGCTTATACGCATCATAGAGCGGCAAAAGCAGAGACCGTATCAATGGGGGATAAATGGGATGAGAGAATAATCGTTAGTGGACCACAATCTTCGCTTATCAAACGGCGTTCTCGGTCGTTCAGAATCGAACTCATTAGATGTTATCGCCGATTTCTGCGGGTTTGCTGGATCTCAATCTGGCAGCTAATTGATGCAAGTGTCATAGATATAGCCGTAATACGAGCTAATCTCCTTTGTTTTACGCCGATATGCAACTTCTTGGCAAATTGCCGACCAGCTCTTTTTACGCTACAAAGCATGAAGAGCGAGCTTTCAGAAAAGACTCGTATGAATCTGAGCCGGAGTGGAAGTGGTGTAGTGGCAAGTGGTAGAGCAGCGATTGAATTTTGGATTGATATTCGCCCAAAACAACCAAACCCTCAATCCTTCCATGTCACTTAGTTGGTACGAGATTCGTCTGGGAGGTTTGAAGCACTGGCTTGCACATTGGCTGGTCGCTACAAACCATTTTATAGGCCGCATACGTCTTAAAAATGTCACGTCGACCCTAAATGGAAGTCCATCCAGGGGATTCACTCCAAAATTGATTGGTCAACGCTAAAAAACTTTTTTATATCATGACACCCTTCTTAATGTCAAGTGTCAGCATACTGAAATTTTGCTGACGCCTCATCGAAGACGAATTTGACCTTAAGAGTTTTTTCTTCTTGCAGAAGGATTCCCTACGAGATCCTCCGGTGGACATGATTAAGCTGATGTCCGGAAAACATTCTTGCGAAACATATCAAGATTGAAAGGGAGAGGAAATCGAGGAGTGTTTCACCTCCCAACTTAGCAGTGTCTGAAATACTAGCTGTATGCGTGGAAGACCTATAGCTATTAGTCCTTATTCAGAAGGAGGTGGTGTATGGCAAGTGGCGCACTGCGTACGGTCACTGGTTCGAATCCCGGCTTGATATCCGCCTAGACCGACAAAGCCTTCCATCCCTCCTGGATCGGTTAGTTGGGGTACTAGACCCGTCTGGGAGGACAAAAACAGTGACTTGTACATCGGCTGACCACTGCATGCCATTGTATGTACATATATGCCATATACACACTCATTACGCTGCTACTATTTTGAATGTAGTCGAGTGCGTGGCGCATCCCTCAGCTGGGATTGAATAACGACCCGAGGCGCTATCCTAAATGCGTAGAAGGAGTGAAAATTAGGAAACAAATCGCTGTACGGGATTCGTGCAAAAAAAACTGGGATCTTGGGGAGGATCGCTTCGAATAGCACTGTTCAGTGTTCTAAGAGTATGATAGAGAGGAAAGGACCCTGAAGCTTCACCGATATAGCTCTCTAAGAGGCTAGCATAAAGTAAAAGTAAGTTCTAACAGGATGAGATTGCTAGGATTGAAAGAGCATCCGTCAAGGTACAACGCAGATTAGATCGAATTTTCTATAGCGATTTAGTTATGTGGGTATGTACTAGTATGGAATAATTTGAAGGCTGACCCTACACCGATACCTCCCGAATGAGAAGACTCCTTTCGGTATAACAAAATGGTGGTAAACGTCAAGGACGAGGGATTTGGGAGCCTTTCGAAACGCCGATGAGGGCAGTTCCAATCACCTTCGGGTTCCAATGGACCATAAAATGGTGGCGATCAAACAAACACACTGCTTCCAGCATACGTAAACCCTCCAGGCGCCTCAGAACGATAGAATAGTGGCTATTCCAAACTGGACACAAACCATCAAACAACGAAATACTTGTTCCTGAGCGGCGGTATTAAACTTTATACAGCCGTAGCGTTAATCCGAAGGTTTTAACACTGTTCTGTTTTCTAAAGATCGCAAACTTTACGATAATCCGTTCGAGGACAAACTGGTTGTAACAGCAGCGAGGTTATGAGCTTTTTAGGGAACATACCCACGCAACAGCATGGAACGCGCAAATGCATCAAAGGGAGCTCATAATATGGTCGAATTAAGGGCGCATGTTGAAAAAATTGGTCCGAAAACTGAAGAGGTACCATAAAACATTGAAATACTACATAGTTTCCGAAGGATCGGTCATCAGTGGTGCAGCTATTTCTGGGTGGCATTGAACCTAGGTGGGTTTTCTCATACTAATATATGTAGTGGGAGAAATAGCCAACAAATCTGAAGCCGAGAAGAAATTGTGCCTCAAACAGCCTTTCGAAGGTCCAAGTTCATCAAGTTCCCTTCATGATCCAACTGCATTAGTAAGGCGATCACTTGCATTATCCGTCGCAATCCGTATACCCAAAAGTTATCGTAAACTGTGCTTTTGAAGGAACAGTTTATGATAAGAATGGTTACAGAGATCTCCTACTGTAATCTTTGGCCCCTAGGCTAAGACGAGCTCAAGAGCGGTCTAGATGTGGTGTAATAATTGTTCAAAAATTATTTTCATTGTATACCACACCCAGAAATGCCCATTTTTCAATGGTCTTGTGTAAGCTGCATCATCATTCAGGGCAAGGCGCAATAACATGGAGGTCATAGAAGGTAAAACTACAAAGTTTTGATTTCATGCCACTGATGGCCACCACTTTACGCAATCGCACTCCAGTGGAATCTCGTCCAAATGCTTTTTTCATACCAATTCCGCTGCCTAAACCTTGCACAACTTATATGTTCATTTAAGAAGCCTTTACACTTTGCAAGCTAAGCGTATTTTCGTTTCTTTTTCGCCTTCGCCTGTCACTGAGCAAAATTATCACGGATTACACCAATATAGCAGCTTTTAGAAGGAAATTTGCTACAGAATGTGGATGAGAACATTCGATGGCGCCCCAGAGCTCAACTTGATAGCTCGGTACACAGCAGGGATCAGGCTGCCACGATGGCCCTCACCTGACAAAGGAAGTTCAAAGCGCAGAGGTGAGTAGTACGGCTTGAATGTTAGGTCATCTTACGATTAGACTTTAAAATAATAAATTTTTTAGGACTACAAGCAGTTTGACCACTCGAAAGCATCCATGCACTACGGATGAGCATAATTTCTTGAACATAAACATTTGACTGAATTCATACAAGTTTTCGCATGGATAGAAATGCCAAAATGGGGAAGACCACTGAGAAGTAGCAGGTTTATACATACACGAGACGTAAACAACCGTAAACGACGTTCAAAACAAACGCCTGGATGAAGAATCACATAAATGCAGCTCCACTCGCCGCTTAAAGGGAGGCAGAGCGATCGAGAAAGTGAAGAACTTGTCTCTGGGTTGTTCTTCAGCACATCCCTACATGGGGCGATAAATTCATACAATATCGGAAACATTTACAGTAAAACTCAACAGTATCTGTACAATTACAGGATTACATGGCACGGTCACGTATACACATCAACAAATGAACTCCCATATGTTAGAGTTAACAAAATTCAATGTTCGATCGGAAATTGAGGTGAATCAGAACGGATTCCTCGACGTGTTGGCCAAATTGTACCGTCGGCTATGGTCACCTCCACGGTGGACGAGTTTTCCTGAGAAGTTTGTGGCACACCTAGAACAACAAAAAGAAGTGGTGTAATGACGAAGCGCATTTAATGTTGTGTACTAATGCAGCAAAAGAAAAAAAGAGAACTACAGAAGGACTAGGCTTTCAATGATGGATTGAAATAATTGCTACTCGCTACGCATTCCGGTTCACGACAGAGTGATTTTTTNTTTTTTCGAAGTTCTTGAGTGACCATGAGAGGTTTAGGTGCTCCATGAGGAAGTGATGATAGAAGCTCAACTGAGGTTGCTCGATCCTCATGCTCACAGCTATGTTGTAACAAATGGTACTGAAGATAGAAAAAAAAGGTCTTTGGATACTTATTTCTTGAGGAACATTGGAGCGGTTGTACCGCAAGGAAATACTTGAGCGGATCGGGAGGCACCGAAGACCACCAACTCTGACACTCTACAGCTCATTACTACAAAAGAGTAGCAAAGAGTTATAGTAAAGGTACTGTGTTCCAATAACCTACTGAATAGCCAGCAAGCCATTATGTATTCAGATATCTCAAATTTACTGGTAACGTGATTGAATAATAGTGTTATCAGTCGTGCTAAAATAGTGGCCACCCATAGTTCGGGACTGCATACAACAATCAGTTCGTAGTTTTACCTTCTGAGACTGTTGTTATTCCGGCCTCCCGCAGAGACTTGAAGATAATTTGGGTGGAAATAGTATAAGGAATATGAGCTACGACAAACTGTGGTTCGAGTGTGGGAACGGAGAAGGTCACGATCTGCCAAAACGTCAGCAGACCTTAGATACAATTCTTGTAAATAAAGTAGAAAACAACCCTTCAATGGAGTAACTATGCCGTGGTTGAATAAAGGAGTACGTCGAGATTTCTATAAGAATCTTTTTGAGTGTGGTATGGACCCAGTTCATGTCATCACTCAACAAAAGTAATAATTAATCATAAAAGTCTAACGAAAAATTCTGATTGGGAGAAGGGGGGGGAGGTCAGACCATGGATAGTCACTTCCCTGACTACGAACGGTTTGAGTTGTTTACCAGTGATTGGTAGTAAAGAGTAGGAACGCAATGTGAACGGGAAAGAAAGAACGGCATTCATCTCGTCCATAAAGTTCGACAAGAACATTGCTACCAGCTACAAGAATCCAGTCGTATCCATTTCGTATTCAGTCAAGCTCTAGTCAATGCCATTGTGAAGTTCGCCGTAGCTAATTTATCATACGGCTGTTCAGCAAAAATGTCATTCCAAATTCCTATTCACTAGGGCTAGTTGGGCAGCCGGCAACTAGAAACTATGTAAAGAGAATAAAATATTGCCTTCCAGGCAAAAAACTCAGCGCACGTCAAACTCTATTCAAACGGGGGTTGCAAATGGTCTTCTTCTCAAATCCTGATCCTAACCGATGGCTTTTTTTTTGGCATGTACAATGATTTGCAAGGAAGCAGCGAGTTCAGTCAGCACATTTATCCTCTCAGACGGGTTTGGTACCAATTAAACGATCCTGAGGATTTAAAAGCTCGGTCGGCTTGCGTAGCATCCCGTTCCGAAAATTGACCCAGGACCAACCGCATATTGGAATGAGGTGAGCAGGATGAAACTTGGGGAGAAAACTAATACGAAATCTGCTGGTGGATTTTTTTAGAAGTACTGTCGTAGGCTCTGTGATGCCCGGTATTAGCGATTCTTCACCAACAGTAAGGGCAAGGGCTTCAGAAGATTCTTCTTGAAGCGTACTGTAGCAGGCGGCTCTACATTGGCAACTAACCACAGAATACGGCCGCTTCCTTCTGTAAAATTGCCAAAAGAGCTTCATTCCCAATCGAATGTGGATTCAAATGGGCATTCGACCATAATGTAGGCCATCTGGGAGGCTTAAAGAAAAAACCCCGCCTCGGTAAGGATCTAAGAGCATACTCCGAGTTTCTGAAGTTATTGTGGTGGTAACTGCATGTGACAGAGAACAAATGCCAATGTTCTTCATCAGTGTTTATCCCTGATTACCCCACATATAAGCTGGGTAGGTTTTTCTTCGGCTTGAAGCCTTATCGGAGTGGCCGATAATGCCAAAGTTCCTTGTCTTCTCTACGAAACCTCCGGCTTGTCTAAATAGAGTCCAAACAAGCTTAGCGACTTTCTTGTTGTGATAGTTAATAAATGCTTACGCCAGTTTTTGGTGACATGAAACACTTGGAAGGAATGAATTGGCTTCTGCTCAGGCCTAATAAGATATACACATTCATACATCGCTTGACCACAGAGCTAACGTTACCTTATCCTCGGAACGATTCGGAACCCGTTCGTTTGAATAATCATCTCTGGGCACACGAAGCTTAATCAAAGCTTCGGATCTGGCTATGTACTCCAGAGGATAAATCTTACTCATATAGGTATTTCTGTAAGCTATCAAGGCTTTCCAAGGGCTCGGAGGAAGCTATCATGCGGAAAAGATATTGAGCGAAAGCAGGGGACGATTGGAATAAGTACCGCAAGGTGATTCAAGAGCCTTCAGAGAAAATAGATAAATTAGAAGTTCCCAAAAGAACTCATGAACTTCAGAGGTTACCCATAAGAATGTGAATTCTGTTCAAATCAATCTTCCGCTCCTACGACCAGATAAACCTCCATCAGACTTTTTTGACATAGAAAAAAGGAATACAGTTCTTCAATCAGAGAAAGCGCAATCCGATAGAAATCAGTTTTTTGTGACCTGCCTGATCAAAAGTCCCTAAGAAAAAATAGACTCCCATGTTTACCTGATTGTAAAATTCAGTCCTTCCCTCGATTGTCTCGTGATCGATCTTACTGGCCGGAGTCCAGCGAATTGTTGAGCCAATTGATAACCGGTTTGTGAGTCTGCAAAACATAACTGAAGAAGAGATAACGAGTTACTAACTAAATATAAACAAAATAAACGATTTACCATGACTGGAACTAACTATCTTCGATAAGCACAAGTCTTTCTATAGAGGTCAAACATCTGGCTACGGTCACTTATTCAATCACCGTACCCATGAAGCTATACCAGAGGAAGGGTAGCGACGTAAAGGTAATAAGCTAAAGATATATAAAAAGTTACTGAACGCTATCCAAAGGTGTCGGATTTGTTACAAGCAGCTCTAGAAGGGAAACTCATTAACTTCAGCTCACTACAATCCGGTCAAGCTGAATTCTCAATTGAGAGTGGTCAAGGTGTGGTTTATTACTGAAACAGAACTCCAAAACCATTATTCAATTATCTACAGAATAAACTTTCTGTAGCTGTTCTAGGAGATGCGCAAGAGAAATGAAAACGATGCCTGGACGAGTTTTCACGCCTTCAGATGATCTGATGATAACTGTTCCCTCTGTAGTGCCACTACCGTTTATATGTACTGTTCATATCACTTCACGGTGATCTGAGCTGCTACCTTCCAACTCCAACCAGTCATTTCCAATCTACTGCACAGGAAAAAGCTATTATTGCTCTGAGCATTACTTCCTCGGGATCCTTTGCTGTAGGAACGCCACAGTTCATTTCCGAAAGCAGTTTGCAATCTCCTCCTCGTGCAAATACGCACTTCCGGCCTACAATACCCGCTGCCATCGCAGGAACAACTGGCGATGACGCGATTGTGATGAAAAAGTTATGAAAGGTACGGTATCCCTACGTATACATCACATGTTTTATATACATATTAAAAGTGAAGGGAGGAGGCGGTGTAGTGGGAGAAGGTGCACTTCACACACACATGGTCACGGAGTCAAATCCCGGATAACATTCCTCCGGGGGGATAAAAGTACTGACTTGTACATCGGCCGGCTACCGCAATCATTGTTTAGGCCACGTACGCATTCAATACGCTACTACGATCCTGAATGGAAGTCTGATGCGTGGGCGCATCCCAGACGGGATTAATTAACGCCCCAATTATTCCTCCTTGTATCCTTTATTATGGATGAAAGGACGAAGTTTTCCGGAACTAATCAATCCCGCTTAGATATCCTCACCGCGTCCGACTTCCGTTCAGGACCGTAGTGGCGTCAGAATATTGGTAAACATATTAGACCGACACAACGGATTGATAAAGCTAACCGTTGTACAGTCTATGCTTTATTCTCCCAGATGAGTCTCGGTGGAATGGACGGGTCGATTCATTCGGGTGCCATCCGTTATTTGATCCGCCTCTGCCCACCTCATCTTTTCCCTTGCTTCTTCAGCGCCTATAGATTTTCTGCAGTGACACAATTGTGAAGGCCATTGTTCGACTAATTAGGGATGCATATTTGAATAGCTGGTCTTGCTAGTGTTCCCTGCCATACTAGGAATCAACTCTGACAATCAGACCCGGGCAGTGCCATCCAGGGTGGAGGCAGCAAACCTACTGGACCATGTTGAATGGGAACAAACAAAACAGCCGGTTGTGAGCAGCTCTTCTATCCAATGCGGCCATGACCGACGCCGAAAATGTCACTAGCCGTTAAATAAAGAAAGATTCGACGGGCTAATCCTTGATTAATTTCCCAAAATCACTGAAATCCTTCAAAGCGAATCCCAAAGGGCTGGTCTGCAATTGGTTTCCCAAATGAATGCTAGTCCGAAAGTGCAGGAACAGAGAAAAAACACTGCCCCTTCTTGAATTGTTAATATCAGGCCCTTGCCGGTCTGCTGCACCACTGTTTCTTGAAACTAATTTCCTTCGCTCCCAAGGGTGCAACATATTCCGCTTCCTGTTCTATTCTTTGACAAAATAGTCCTCTTCCTCAATGTTTCCTTCTTGACGCTCTCTGCAAATAAATTGCTGTGGGCCTACCCAAATGAAGGACCGGATCGGGTACAAATCGAGAGCTAAAGTGAAAAGAATGTCCTGGAACCTTTTTAAAGTTATTCATGAAGGACCAAGACTTACAAATACCTTAAAATGCCACCAGTAACACTGAAATAGCGCAGGCAGGTCGACAGAAAAACGAGCTGACATATTCCAATGGAGTTTATGATAGATGTCCACGGTTAACGGTGATTTTGTATGCGCCATGCACTCGAGCTACATTCATGACTGCAGGTGTATGATGCTTACTACTAAATTACTCCCCAATGCTTCTGAATCGAATTTCAGAAGCAGAACAAGGAAGAAGTCCTGTCTGTTCATAGCGTTTGACTGCTCTTCAATTTCTCCACTGAGACAAAAACTGCCTATGCGTTTAGAGGAAACAACTAAGCATCATGCTTTTGCACTCATGAGAAGAACTCGAGTGCATGGCGCACACAAAACCACATAAGTTTCAAATGATTGTTAAACTTGCCGTTGACTGACCACGCAGGTCCCTCGACCGAATTAAGAGCATCGAACAAATGACAGACTGAACCTTCTATCCAGTAAACCAGTTTATAAATGAACTATGGTGGGATGAACGTCCGAACATTTTCTCAAAAGCTTGTAACAACGTCGGAACGACGAATGATCAAGCATGTCGTTACGGAAAACCTGCCAATATGCCCCCCTCCCTTTCCCCCTCCCCCCACAAAACTGCTTTTCCATGGTATTTTAACAACTGGTATTTCCCCATAATTAGAAGCGACCATGGCGAAGAGGTACATATATCAGAGAGAGAGAGCGATCGAAATCGCAAATTCTACCAAATCTTCATCCGATATGACCTTTGCCTCCTTCACAGGTACGACCAGTCGTCCCAAGAAGTGATTATGAGCCGCCCTGTACCGAATTCCACTATACAAGCCTGACCCCATTGGCTGTGACAGTTCGACTTCCAAGTAAGTACAATTTGGGACAGTTCGACTTCCAAATTGCAAAAATATTGTGAAACTTGGATTACAATTATCAAAATTATAGGATAATCGAGAAAATAGAATTATTCAACCCAACCTGGTGAGAAATGACCAGAAGTTGTTTGATCTAGTACCAGGTTGCCTGCCATGCGACTTACGATGGAGCGGATCACCATTCATTAAATACAAGGGCAAAGCACCAACGGCTGCAGCCTCATGGGAGAGAATGTCGGAGTAGACGGGCACACAACAAATTCCCTGCACCCTATGGACGGGCTGATGAATGAAAGAGAACATATGTTTTTCGGGAATGAAAACACGACGCAATTGGGAATGTTTCTTACTTATCAATTTTCCTTGAGGAGTTGCATCTACAAAGATCAGATGGAATACGAGGGAGAAGGAGGGGTTCTTCCGTTCCTTACCGACACGAAGGAGGGGTTCTTCCGTTCCTTACCGACACACATGGGTGGACACATTTCGTTGAAAGGTTTTGCAGGAATTTCAGTTGAAGAGTCTGGTGATAGATGTAGCAGGAGGCTCTTTAGAGCGTATTGAGGATCACCTTAAGCTTTTGGATACAAAAGGGGAGATATCAGCATGAACTTGGCCACCCAACTGATAAGTTTCCAATTCCTCCACGATGAAAGGATAAAGGATAAAGACTTTGGCATGAAGGGGTCCCGTTTCTGAGACGCGCCCCGCGTCCGACTCCCATTCGGAACTGTAGTGGTGGTTTTAAAGGGTATGTGGCCTAGACAATGAGTTGCGTTTGCCAGCCTACCTTCGTGCCTGTATTTTTACCCTCCCAGAGTAGTCTAATAGCAATTTATCGATCAAGGAGTAACGAACGAATTGCCAGTTCTAGGCAAATAGCGATCCAGTTTGGACCGATTTTGAGAGGTATTTCTGAAAATTGGAAAGTGAGCCGACAGAGTTCAGCTTATTCCACCTACAGACTTAGGGAGGCTCCCTTTATCTGGCACTGTAGAAAGTGTAACCCCGTTGATCATCGACCCTCTTCGTTCGGAAGAAATCGATGGGTAATTAGTTGGGTTACAAGTGTTACAGAGATAGGTAAAAACATGATTTAATGCCTCTCACCCGCAAATGGAATTCGTTTTTTCAAAGCCCCATTTACAATGTTCTACTCGATGAAATGGGAATCATTTTCCAGCAGTAGGTTCGAAAATGGATTCGAAGGTTGAGAAAAATGTTTGCGTGGGAAAGATTACTAACCTCGAAAGAGTGTTGGCGACAGCGTTAGAAGGAATCTTCCGAGTAGGCGGTGTTTTTCTTGTATCAATCCATGTTGGTCGTTCACTGTTATCAGGGTGAGTACGCATGAAAATATATCTAAAAATATGCTTACAGTATAAAGTTGGACGGGAAGTTATAGGAACAAAACTGCAGAAGTAACAACAAAGTAATTTCGGAAGCTCGTTTCATACTACAGCTATTGGAAACAGTAAAGAGTCGGTACAGATATGGACCAGAAAGAGATAACGACTGATAAAAGCTGATCGGACAAGTCAGAAAGTAGTGTCCCCATGTACTTCACTCGCATTAGCTAGCTGAAAAGGATTTTGTAACTTTTCTGAAGGTCAAAGTGGGGAAGGAGGGGGGGGGGGGTGGTGATTTCACCATTGTGACCGTTGTGTGGGGGTAACTATGGGCACATGACATCGATGTCAACAGATCGATGTAGATCGCTGCACTAGGGCGATCTTGCACAAACAATTTGTCATTTACTAGTTAAAGGTCAAAGGTCCCGACACGATGGGATGAGGGGTAGCACGGCGTAGGGCGAACCGACTAAGGGGTGACACTAAGGTATTAGGGCTTCCAACCACCTGTAATAAGGTATAGGTTGGCTGTCCGACCTATACCGTATTCAGGTGGCAGGAAGCCCTAACACTTTATGCCACATAAAGACAGCTATGGACCTAGGACCGGATTTGAAACGGCAACAGGGTCCCTGTACAGCTGAAAAAGAAAGAGCAGCGCCTGCGATGGTATGGACTCGTAGTCCAGCGGTTCATACAGTAGAAGAAGCAATGCAGTTCGATGTTCGATTAAGGTGACGACGAGGAGCCCCAAATAAGAAAAGAGGGGATGCGAACAAGAAGGACCTCGCAGAAGTCGAGACGATCAAGAAAGACCTCCGTAGCTCAAGTGCCGTGAAGAGAAGAAAGTGGAGACGATTGACAAGACTAGTGGACCCTGCACAGAAACAAAGCTAGGCAGAAAAAGGAGGGTTTTACAATTGGTAGGGCCAATAAAAGATATAGGGGTCAGACATCTTCAATAAGCGGTGAAAATTGCAGAGTAGAGCCAATAAAAAAGAGGATAGCGCAATGATGTACCTTTTTCTGATTGCAAGATATACTTTTTCAGAAAAGAATGAACCAAAAGGGTTGCTAGAGGGGAATCGAAACCTTGAACTTCTCTCTCCTTATTTATTTCTAAATTATTGTCTTTTTATAAAATCTATTCATCGTTGACTCAAAGGTATTTTATGAGTAATGCATGTACCGGCCTAATACCACTTTTTTAAAGTCAAAAAATCCAAATATAGGTATTAACCTGCAACGTAATACCATCTACAACTATCGAAACGTCACGTAATGCTCGGTCGCATCATCAAGGATAGCCGCACAAAAACTAAACTACTTTCAATGGGAAAATCTGCCCGATACTTCATTACCATTTGAAATCGCTCCACTTGATTAACACTCAAACGTAACTCTACAATCGCACTTGAGTAAGCAGGGAGTCTAGTAAGCAAGCAAGTAAGTAAAATAAGTCATTGGCATCTTTCATAGTCCACGACCGGTCGCGCGACCAGTCGCGCGATCGGTCGCTCGACCGGTCGCTAGCGACTGGCGACCAGTCGCGGACCCATCTCACGAGCGACCGGCGACGCGCGACCGATCGCGCGACTGATCGCCGGTTGCTAGCGACTGATCGCCGGTCGCTAGCGACTGGTCGCCGATCGCTAGCGACTGGTCGCTCTACTGGTCGCTTGACTGATCGCGCCACTGGTCTCTCGATC